TGGCAAAAGGCAATAGAAAGAACATCAGCTGCTTGTCTAGTCTTATTAATTGTATTTTTAAAAAATCTGTTCAGTTTCTGGTCTAGAGCTCCTCGTTTTGCACCACAAAGGGGGGTGAGCTCTCCCTTCTGAAGGTCTTTCTTTTATTTTCTTTTTCTTTTTTTTTTTTTTAGGGTTTTGGACCATGTGTATCCTCCTTGTGTTGATTCAAAATGTGAAATAAGGAGAGGCAAGCATTAACTGTTGTAGGGTTTTTAAAAAAATTTTGTCTGTCTAGAAAGAACTTCAAAAAGGAAAAGTTATCTCAGTTCTCAATAACAGTATTCAGTTTTGTTTCTACTCTCACCATAGCTAAGAAGATTCTTCTCTGCATGGTCAACAAACTTCTGAAAGGGTTCTTCCTCACACTCTCTCCCCACTGAATTCCTTAAGAAAACCAAAGAACACTTTCATCCTTAACGTTAAAGTCAATTCCCTTTCCTCCTTTAGCTTTTTCACCTTTTTGATTGCATAGGATGGTACATTTTGGTCTCCATCCTTTCTGTTTTCTGTGTCTGTAGCTTTACTTCCACTTCAGGCATACTTTAAAAGTTTTGCCAAAAGAACAGTGTTAGGCAGAAGTGCGATCCCACATTTCTCCCCCCTCCTTAATAAGATGGAGGTACTGATTAGTAACAACTGTACCCCCAAAACCAGAAAAGAGGTCACTCTGCTGGTGAAACATCCTTTCTTCAGGAATCTGTACTGCCAAGAAGCTCCTAGCTACCACCAGCAGTTTAGTGCTGCAAAGTATGTATACAATGCCAAATCCTTTTTTCTTTATACATGGTCTCTCTTTCAAAAATCAAGGAACTAATTTTCACCTTTTTTTCTTCTCTCATTTTTTCTACATGGGTTTATTCTTTCACTGTGCAATTGCACTTTTAATTTGCAATATTTTTTTCAATTAAGAAGGGTATGGAAACATTACATGACATGTACAGTGCAGTGCTTTCAATTAGTCCATTTTAGATTTTGAGATTAGAACCACAAATAAATATCAAGCATTTTTATGTGACTCCATGTAAAAGACTGACTGTTACAGAAATGTCCAGGTATCAATTAACATCATCAGCAAAGGGGTATAATCTGCCATCACACTCCACTTACAGTCCTGTATTAAAAGTGCCACTCCTGCTTCTCCTGAAGAAACACAGTGGAGGACAGGACTAACTCTTAGCAATCTGGTCTAGAGGAAGGTGTCTCTGCCCATGGCAGAGGGATTGGAACTGGATAATTTTTAAGATCCCTTCCAACCCAAACCATTCTACAGTTCTATGATTAACAAACAGGTACACAGAGTTCTGCCAACAGTTTTGGCCTATTTGGCATCCCATGATCCCCCAAAACTTTTTTGGGGCGAGTGTATTTCTGGAAAGAACACTGCAACCACCCCAGCACTATTTCAAAACGTTCTAAATGATGCAGGTAATGCCTGCACTGGGGCATGTGACTGAGGCACGCATGCTGCCCATCTGGGGAGACAAGCAGCAGACAGGTGCAGCTCCAGCCCCAGGGAAGTCAACCCAGGGAATCTTGTGGGATCACCTCTCGTATTGTGTAACCCAACTAGCACCACTGGCCGTGCTGCTTCGTGCATAGGAGTATCATAGGTGTCATGGTATATCACTAATATACCTGTAAAAGATATTGTGGCTGATTCAAACCAGGCAGTGACCTGTGGATTTGACGTTCTGGCATGTTGTTTAAACCCGGTGCACTTTTCTGTTGTGTTTTGTACTGTCTCCTCAGCCTGCTCTTAGGAGGAACTTTCAAGCGTACTTCTTAAATTATATTTTACATTTATTACAAAGCAGAAGCATAAAGCTGAGACATTTTAAAATAAAATGTTTGCATTTAAATTAAAACTGCTGCTGCTGTGTGTGTTTCTTGCCCCTTCCCAATACTGGGCCTAGTAACCCCCTTGCAGTGGGCCCAGCACTCCCTGGCCTCAACTGGTTCCAGTATTCCCTCTGGACTTGTTCCAGCATCTGCCTACCCTGGCTCCCTCCCAGTATTTGCTCTGGATTGGCCCCAGTACCCACCCTCAACCTGAACTGGTCCCAGTAGCCATCCCAAAAAGGTCCAGGGACCAACCCTGGTCTGAACTGGTTACAGTATCCCTCCTGAACCGGTCCCAGCATCCTCTCCTTGAAGTCCTCCCGGGGTTCCCCCTGAACTGGCCCACTATCCATGCTGGCCTCGTCCGCCGTTCCCTCCCGGCCTGGCCGCTCCCGGTTTCCTGCCTTGGTGCAGGGGTAAGAAGGGATAGGGGCGTGGGCTGGGGGCGTGGCCTGCTGCCGGGCGCGCGGCCCGACGCTAGCTCCCCATTGGCCGAGACGAGCGGCTGCCCGCCAATGGCCGCCGGCCTGGGGGCGTGGCTGTGGCAGTGCCGGAAGTGACGAACACTGTGCGGGCGAGGTGAGCGAGAGGGCCCGGATGTTCTGAGGTTGTGCCGGTGGTGGAAGGTGTGGATTGATCTACAGAATAAAACAATAGCTCTTAAATAGCAAATAATAGCTCAGCCGCCCGAGGCGTGGCCCTTGCTTCCACCTGGTCGCTGTAAAGCACCGTGTGAGCAAGAGTTGGTTTAAGTTTTCTTTCTGTTTTTATTTTTTTTTTCCCGGCCGTGCAGGATGACCGCCGTGCCTGAGGAAGTTAAGGCAGAAGATGGCAAAGCGAAGCCTGAGAAAAAGCAGTTTTACTGCGAAGTGAGTGGGTGTCTTTGATGTGTTTCAGGCCCGGCAGGCGCTGGAAGGTGTGCGGGCATTGGGGGCCACGCTCCCGGCCGTGGGGAGCTGCGCCAGGCGTGGTGGGCAGAGCTGGGAGCGAGGGGGCTCTAATGGGGGAATAACGTGCCCGGTCTCTGCAAGAGCTGCTGGCCTCAGAGCTCGGTGAATTCAGGTTGCTTTTGAGCAGTCATGGGTGCAGTGAATGGTTCTTAATTGCAGCCTTTTCAGTCTCTCCTGGGTATTTCTGATGGGCGGCCCCAAAGGTTCATTTATCTCCAAAAGCTGCAACTCCGCGTTAGTACGCGTTGCTTTTTCAGTCCTGTAGTGTTTTTGTAGCGCAGAATGTTTTTCTGGCGCATTCATGTTCTGGAACAGTACGTAAAGGAAATAGACAATATTAGCATGCATTATTCGTTGCTTTTATAAAAGCTAAAGCTAATAAGAAATATTTGTATATCTGTGTTGTTTTCTCTTAATTATTGCAATGGTATCTGCGTGTCTGTGGATCTTGATGAAATGCGTGTGTCTTCCTCCATTGTTTTTCTGATCCCTTTAACGTAGCTGAGCATGAACAATGAACGGAGTTGCAGCTATTCTAGGGAGTAATTTTGCCTCTGTTCCTTTCTAGTCACTGCACGATCATCCCGTTTTTGCTGACTCTCCATTTTGGAGAACTTTAGAAAACTAAGATTTCAGAAAGTGCTGGTAGCAGACGAGGAGGAGGCTCTTAAAAACTTCTTACCACCTAATTTATTTAAACATGTGTTTAAGTATTGTTTGAACAGGTTTACGTACTACTTTTGGACATTTTAATAGTAAGCTGCTCTCCTAAAAGCCATGCAAAACGGTTCTGTTTGAGCCAGAGAAGACCTTGAGAATTACACGATTACGCTGTAGGAACAGATGTATTTCATATTTATAATTCACCAACGGCAGAATATTCGCAGCGTAACTGAAGATGTGCTTTCAATTTTTCTCTTTCAGGTTTGTAAAATTTCCTGTATGTGTGCCATAAATCTTCAGTCACACTATCGTGGTGCAAAGCATAGGAAGGTAAACTTTTCCCGTATTAAATGTGTATGCAGATTTAATCATAAATCTGGGACTCGTGAAAGTTCAGTAGTTGATTTCACACAGCTTCAAGTGCTTATCTAACTTATTGGTTGATTTGTAATAGTAATTTGCTTGAAATATTCTAAGAAAAAGATGAGGTGGGAATCTCACAACTCTGCTTTCTGCAGCATGTAACTTGAAACATCAGCTGTACCTAAAGGTAAACGTGTGCTAAGTATGAAATTAACGCTTGAATTACATGGGAGCCACAGATGGTGAAAGAATTTAACTTTTTGTTGGTTCCACTGTACAGTTGGTAAAAGTCCTGTTTTGTCTTCCGGGTCTACATAACTCACCTGTACTTTGAATAAAATGAGCTTACCTTTTACTTTGATAGTAACACCATTTCTGATTCCTGAAGGAGTTACATAGACTTAACTATCAAGTCTGACTTGTGTTTGTTTGAAGCATCACAATAACAGCACCCTAGTTTAAGCACAGAACAAGTAAAGGCATTAAATAATTATGCACGGTTCTGTAAGGGTGTGTTTAGAGATGAGGCTTTTACAAATGATGTGTGTTGGAACCTTTGGCTGTTGATTGGCTGATGATTGTTTAAAATTCCACTACATTCTCACTCTGTAAAGGTGAGACATAACTCAGTTGTCTGCACTCCTTTGCTGCCATCAGATTTGTTGGGGCACTGAAGACCCTGCTCTGATGTTTTCTTAATGACATTTTTTTCTTCCTGGAACATTAGCAGCAAACAGCAAAACTGCCTTTCTTAAGTGTTGGTGTGCCCTCCCTCTTTTTTTTTTTTAAGTGAGGGGCATCTCCCCACCTCTTTGCTATTAAGGCAGATTAACAATATTCTGTTACCTGCTTGCTGATCACTTTAATAACATTGATTCTTATTTGAGTCAGTGGCTTTACTTTCTCCATCCAGCCCCTTTTTTTTTCCTCACAGCACTGAGTCTTCTTGTTCCCCATTGATCGAGTAGAAGTGTACAGTTGTATTTTTCAAGTCTTGCCAAATGTTCCTGCTGATGCAAAGAATTCCTTTGCTTTTGTGTTTTTTTTTTTGTTTTTTTTTTTTAGCTAACCTTCTTAGCAATCTAATTATTGCTGTTTTTCACTTAAAAAGAAGGAAAAGCAGCATTTATTTTCTTAGAAAATCTGCATATAGTTTTCCTTCTGTTTCACGCTTGGATGTATGCTGGGCTAAATCTATCAAAGTTTCTTGTGTCAGTGAAGTCTTTGAGCTGATAGTGAGCAAGAGTAGGACAGGTTCGAAACTAGATTTTTATTAGGTGTGAAATCTGGTGTGAGGAGTCGTGGTCAGTCACACAGCTGCATTGCTGTAGGAGTGACTCTCCAAGCTTGCATCATCATTCTTTTCATTTATCTCTAATTTCTTTCCTTAAATTATGAACTCTGTGTGTGTCTGCTTTGGTGGAAAAAGATGAGAACTCACAGACTGATTTCAGGGTTTTGTATCACTCTTTTTGGAATAACTATAAAGGTCCTGAGCCTATATTTTTTTTTTTTTTAATGCAGGGTAGGTGTAGATAGTGAATGGCTCTTAGATTGTTTCTTACTGAAGGAGTTCCTGTTCAAAATTATACCAAAAGCTGCCCTGACAACATAACAAAATTAAGAGAAGGCAGTAGTTCTTTTCCTAAACCACAGTACTAGCCCGACCAATCCATTAGCCATTTTTTATGACTTCAGTCATATTGCCTTTTTTTCTATCAGTTGCCCATTTGTTTTTAAAATGGCATTGGTAAAGATAACTCTGTGCTTGTCTGCCACTAGAAGGTGTTTCAAAAATGCAAGAAAAAGCCCTTAATCAGAAGGACATTAAGAAAACTTTAAGAAACAAGTGTAAACACGTGCTACATATATGAAATGGTTCTTGTTTCATTGGCTTGTGTTTCCTATAGCTATTCAAAGATAGATGTGTTATTTTGAATAGCTGCAGTATTAAAGCTTGGCTGTCTGACAGATTTGTAGGAATATTTCAGTTGACTTTCAGTGTACATGGCTATTTTATTTTTTTTTCTTTTTTTCCACCTGGATATTTTAGTTATTCTGGATTTTGAATAGGTACATAAGATATTTATCTAGGTTGTTTCTGCATATCTTTGTTTTATCTCTAATTTTTTTCTAGTGCTCTTAGTTCATAAGGCCAGACCCTTGTCAAAGAGGTGCTGATGGCCGAAAGATTTGTGGCTGGGATGATCACAGTACAAGGCTCTGTGTATCTTGTGCATTGAGTGTTCTGTGACCTCTGTATAGTAGCAGAATGATGGGATTTTATGGCTTCATTGCAGAGCAGGTATTAATGGGATAGGGAGTTGTAGAAAGTGAATTAGCCGAACTATTCATAGATGTGTGTATAATTCATGGCTCTGAAAATTGGAGTTGGCTGGTATTGGGTATTTTGAAAAACAGTTGAATTTTAGTTTTAGCCATTATGGTAAAATGTTTAGAAAACAACATTTATGTAAGTTTGCTAATCCTTTTAACTTAACCCAGCCTGGGAGAGTAGTGGGGGATATCATGCATGAAAGATGTGATTATTTGGTCTTTCTGGTTTTTTTTCCACAGCTGAGGAAAAATTTAGGGTTTTTTTGGGACAACAAAAATTTTATTTGGTCCCCAAATATAATACACCTGCTGTTAATATATCTGGAACATGGTGGTATATGATAAAATTTATTCAGTTTTTGTAAATATGCATTAGTTTTATAGCTCAGTTTACTAGAAAGGAAATCCTAGAGTGGAACATATTTTTTTCTATGTGTTTTGATCAGCCCTTTGCAGGTATGGCATCAGCAGAAGACCGTTGCCTATTTTGTGAACTGTGTTTGGAGCACAGATGAAGATTATTCTGGTTCTATCAAAGATTCAAGTTTCCTTGCCCTCCCTTCAGATCTGAAGTTAGATAGGCAGAAATGCCTGCCATGTCCCAAAAGGAGAAAAATCTGTATTCAAGACTACAGGCTCATTAGAAACAAGGAATGTTCAAATCTGTGAAGAGAGCTGTTAGTCTTTGTCTTCACCATTTCAGTGTTCTCATTTCTTCTGCCTCTTACCCCTGATTGTTGTGCATCAGAACCTGTGGTTGAAATACCTGATGTGCAGGCAACCTTTCTGTCCTTCTTTGTGGCAGTAGGATCAAGCATTGCAATGTTAAAACATTTCAGTCAGACATATTTGTGTTAATACTTGGAATGCTTACATAGCTAGTTGCAGGAAAATTACATTGCTGTTGGATTGTTTGTATTTATCTCAGAAAGCATGCTGTTGTGTTCTGCAGCATATCGTCATGATCCAGAGAAACTTTAATTGTGGAACATTCCTTTTGAGGGGAAAAACCAAACAGAAGACAAACAAAACCCCAAAACTTGATTTGCGTATTATGAGCTTGAAGAATTAAAATAAGTAGAATTTCCATGCATATCCTTTTATATCTAACTGATATATTTCAAGATTGCATATGTTTAAGGAAAAGCTGAATTATGTTCATGTAATACTTAACTATGCACTTGAAACTGTTCTGTTAGATAACCTGTGAACTTGAATTGTGTGGACAGCTACTTTATGCAGTAGCTCATACAGATGCACAAAAGGTTTGATCCCTTAAAACCAGTAGTTTTTGAGTTTTGGCTTCTCAAAGTTAGAAACTTTGCCAAAAGTTACTCTAACTTTTCATAGTCTTAGCTCAAAAACAGCTGGAATCCCTGAACCAGAACAGAGAATAAGTTTCTTACCAAATGTGTGAGAATCTTAATTCCTGATCTAGTAGCAGGGATCACAAGTAAAATGGACCCTTTAGCTTCAGTTGTGAAACTGCATTTCTAATATTAACAAGCAGTAACCCAGGTGCAGTCAAAGTTAATGGTCTGAAAATAGTCAGGAGGAAATTCTCTTTGAGGAGCAGCTCACAGCTGCTAATGTTTTCTGCTTGTCTGAAAAACTTGGTATTAGCAGCTGTTTGTTGTAAAACTGGAGAATGAGTAACAAAAGCACTTGGAACAACATAACTGCGAGGAACAGTGTCTGTATTTCTAAGCTTATGAAATCCTGCTGAGTTTATACAAAACCATCCACTGCCTGTGGCAATACCGGGACTTAGGTAACCTCCTTATCTTATAACTGCCATGAAAGTACAGCTACTTGGCTTTGCAGACAATTAAATGTTGTATCAGTCTTGCTTTCCTATTGCATTGACACATCCATGTCCAGCATCTCTTCCATGCCACTGAATATTGAAAATACAGCACTTAACTCCATGGACTACTCTAGACAGACAGCTGCTGTAGTGGTAGAATGATCACCCTTATTGTTCCGTTCTTGTAAATGACGAGTTTGTGTTTACTTGCCAGAAAACTCTCAAAATGAGTCAGGATTGCGTTAGCTATTAAATGGAAATTTTAAGTTCCCCTTTTCTTTAGGTTCTGCCAAAAAGTAATCATCTGTTCTAGATTCAACCAGTGAAAGACACTTTTCCTGTTCTTCATGATATGAATGATCTTTCCTGAGATTTGGCTAGCCTTGAAGTTTAACCAAATCCACTCAAAATGGTGGGGGAGCTGCTTCTAGTTAGTTTTTCTTTCTGGGATGAGTTTTTTTTTTAATTTTCTTTTTTTATTTTTTGGAACTACACCTTCTGAAAACTTAGCCATAATCATACTTTAGGTTTTCCTGGCATCCTTCAGATGTTGTGTTTCAAGCCATAATCATCTCTTAAAACTTCATTAAATAACAGGGCTTTCTTGAAAGTAACCATGTGTTAACTGTAAGTACAGCTTTGTCAGTACTTCCAGCTTTTGCAGAAAATCGTGCAGGCTCTAATTTTTCCTATTTGACGGTGGAAAATTAGGTCTGTAATGCAATTCATCTGCAAAGGCTTTTCCGGAAGTGCTGGGTTTTTCCTTCGAATGATGCAGCACATTAATTTCTTTTTCTTATTTTATTTTGGGATGACTTGCATCTTCATAATTAAAGCAAGAGAAAGCCCTGAGACGCAGGAATTTCTATAGTAAGTATAATACTTTTTTCTTTCAGCCTCCTAGGATAGATATTGCTTGGGGATTTACTGTTTTGTTGCTGTTCTAATAGTTCAGGTATTTGCATTTACCAGTTTATATGTCTCTTAACTGTGTTTCTCTTTATATGTTGAACATTCTTCTGAGATTATGTCTACTGAACTGCTGAGCAAAGAATTGTTTTGGAGTAAGATACCTTACTTACGCCTTTTCATATATAAATATTTATATATCTATCTAGTGAAGGGATGTATAGTCAGTGTTTTAGTTTCTCGCCTTCCTAGGCTAAACTGTCTCCCACTTGTCTGTCAGCTTGTTGCACTCACTGCTGAGCTTCAAGGAAGAATGCTAAGAAGTTAAATCAGCAGGCTAACACAGCACTGTTGCAAATGCAGCTCTACCAGTGCTGAAGCTGCTTGGCTGTATCACAGGAGTGTTCTGCCTCTCTTTATTGTAGTGGACCTGGAGGAGCAAAGACGTATTCAAGGTGAATTCAGTTGTTGGGGTGTTTTTTCCCCAGAAACTGAGAATGTGAATCCAGACTGTCATATGTCAATGAAAGTAAGATGAGTGGTAAAAGGTTGAAAACGTTGTGTATGCCTAGCTCACAGTAAAAATTAAAATCTTGTTGTAAAGCTACTTATGATGACTTACGGGAAGCAGAGGCATAAGCAGATGTGGGAATGCTGATAAAAATCAATGAGATTATTAAAACCCAAAATGGTTATACAGTCAGAATACACAAGAAACAAGCCTTTCACTTCTACTTTATCTTCTTAGCCTGTTCTCCCAAGAAACAAGGCTTACATTCCACCTTTATCATCTATTCCCCAGTGTCCTTTGAACCTCTCAGCCTTTTTGAGCCAAGTTGATCAAAGGTGCCTGCAAATACACATCTGCACAGGGAAGAGTGACTGTGTACTGAGAGAAGCGCTGCCGGCTGAGCTCACTGCTTACTGGACCCTGAAGAATCAACACACAGGAAAGATCTGGGGAAACATTGGTCAGAGGTCCTTTTCTAAGAGACTGGGCTTCATTAGCTGCTCTCAGGATTTTGTGCTGATAAGGGAATTGGTGCAAGTCGTGTCATTCAAGTGTGAGATTTTGCCTCAGTAGCCATGACCACTACATGGTAATGAAGTTCTCGACAGAATTTGAAGAGTTGTGAGAACTTTCAAGTCTTCTTAAAGTCCAATGGATGCAAGCGCTACAAAACTGTATTTACACCTCAGCAACGAGAACAGATTTGTGTGGCTCTGGTCAAGGGGTTTTAGTGGAGGATGCTTTTTATGGCTTTCTTTAAACTTCTTCTCAGAAATAATCATTAAAAGTAACACTGATTAAATGAAAGAGGTTCTTTCTTCAAGATCATAAAATCTGGTTTTGGAGGAATAATGTATGGGATGCATGTGGCAGAAAGTGTGACTTGAATAAGAGGACAGAAGTGGTGGCAGCAAGACTACGAAAAGAGTGGTGCAGTGCAGGAGCCTGTTGCAAAGACCTATGGCTTTAGAAAACAGTACTGTATGTACTACAGTCTGTGCTCCATGGAGAATTAAGAGTTATTCCATGGGTTAAGAATGTGTACATGCTACAAATATTGTATCTTTGGAAATGTCATGACTTGAAAGCTTTCAACTGAGACGTATCCTGCAGAGCAAGTCAAAATATCTGATTATTAAAGTGAAGAATCTGGAAGCTTCGGTAAGCAAGTTAGCTGTAACTTCTGGAGGAGTCCCAACATCACAGGGTCCCACGTGTTGGAAGCATTGTGAGATGTGCTTTTATCCAGAAAGTTCTCTGCCTCAGCTGTCATTCTGAAGTGATCAAAAACTTACTTCTAATAAAAAATTATTACTAATGCTATTGATGTCTCTTTTATTATTCTCTATTGCATTCTGCTTCACTGAAGGTCAATTTGCAAGCCACTAGTAGGGTTTATTTGTCCAAAGATGCTGAAATTTGGCCTGATGAAATGTAAAGAAACCCAAAGCAGTACAAACAAAGCAGTACAACTGAAATATACAAATACAAGAAAGCTTTTTTCTTGAGTAACTTTTCAGAGATGTTGAGTACTGCATTGCATAATTATATAGTCAATATGTGTGTAGAACTTCTTGAACTCTTCCATGGACATATTACCAGTTATATAAAAAGTTGTCCTTCAAGGTCCAGCTGATCCAGTAAATTCATTGTGCTCAATCACTGATACAAAAGACTAATTTATGAATTTGTCTAACCTTTATTTTTTCATTTTAAATAGCTGATTTTTTTTTTTACTGTTTGTAGACCTATGAACTAAGCATGAACAAAAATTATTAAATTCAGTAGTAAAGTTTTGTGAATGAACATGGAAAGTATGGAGAGTCTTAAATTAGGTGCACTATGTAAAGTATGAATCTTAATTTTTTTTCAGTATATAAATTAATGAGATACTTTTTTTAGTGTTGCTGGGTTTGCAATCTTGTTCTAATGTTCATGCTATCAAATGTTCCAGTGAGGTTGAAATGTGACAGCATGTTCACAGAACTGGAGTTCAAAGAACCAGGAAAAAATGTTGTGAAAGTGAAGAATGAAGTTTCTTGGAAATCATTGGGGATGATACCTGACAAGTAGCTGAAATGTGCACTGTCTAAAAAGGAACAGGTACTAAACAGGATGAGGCTTGACATATTTAGAATGTTTTACACCAACATCTGCTTTTTCTTTCTTGCTGCAGAATTAAAAAAAAGTTCCTTTGTCAGTAGGGAGAACACCTCCCTCCCTTGTAAACTAAACACCCGCCATTTGTAAACCAAAATTTAAAAAGACAAAGTATTTGGATTCGGAGTGTTTCCAAATGGAATATGCCGTGTATCCTTTCTGAACCCATCAAAAGTTACTTGATAATCCAAAAGTGGTGAGTGTATGTAGCCTGTGTGAATGTACAATCACGTTGGCTTTGTAGTCAGTTAAGTGAGGAAATGCATCTGATTCCAGATGTTTGTTTTTGGAGGAGTTCCACTTCCTGTAAAAAAGGCCTCTTTCTTCATCACATTACCATATGAGTTTCCATATGGCAAAACTATCCACAAGCTATTTTTGTGGTAATGACATAATTGGATATCTTAGGTTGGGTTTTTTTCCCCTCTTTGGCAGTTCAGAGGAAAGCGACATAACAGAAGATGTGGAAATAGAAGATGCTGAAGTTCTGAGACTTTACTAAGATTGTTAAGTCAAAGCACACCTGAGTACATAAATTTCAATCATGTGATTCCTTTGTACAGTGATATAATAGGACAGATGGAATACTTCTTTCAGCTCTTTTTTTGAGGCAGTTGCCCATGTGTTTGGGGATAAAGAGCAGAGGGAAATGGACGGTGTTTTTTTTTTTTTTTTCCTTTGGGTCTATTGGCCAAAATAGAAATGTTATGCAAACTTTTTGCTTTGAGCGAGAGGCATTAAATGATGGGGCAATGCCTATATACACACAGGTAAACATTTACTGGCAGTAGCAAAATGCAAAATACTGTTAGCTCAGGCAAGGGGCTTAAACAAAGTATGAGCCCTGTTAAAGCCCTTTATGGGCTGCCTAGCTTTATTGGTGAAATGAATATGGCACAGAGGAACGGATTAATAAAATTTTTTTTGTACAGCCTGTGGAATTTTTCTTGCATTACAATATGATGCAGAGGTAGTTTGTCCTTCTCTTCCAGCATACAAATGAAAAGTAGTAAGGGAGGTTGTATGTTGTTAGCTGCTGGATCTGCTAATCTGCATCTATATCCTTCAACTTAAAACCTATAAATAGCACCATGAGTAAAGAAAGTTTCGTTATGGTTGTTCTGCAAAACATGGAATCAAGGAGAGGGATCCAGTCTGAAGATTAAGCTGCAAGTTCTTTCTCCAGCAAAGGCACAAATGTTGTGGATTCTGCCTTGTGTTCACCACTGATAACCTTAACCAGTATCCTGATGAATATTTCAGCTTAATATTTTAAGAAATTGATATGATTTAACATGATCCTTCATACTCAGTGTCTGTTAAATATAGATAAGAATGCAGGTTTTGGGTGTATAATTGCTGCTAAGTCTTCAAAGGGAAACCCTGGAAGTTCTATTCTGACTGACAGACTAGAAGAGAAAATGTTTCAGAAGCCATAATAATAGAAATACAAGATGGAACACTATTTCAACACCCTTACTGCTTTTCTTTTGGGGAATTCCTTGACATGGTGGAATCTGGCATCTTTGTGCACTTCCCTTTTGTTTTCAAAAGGGAATCTGTAGTGCTGAGCTTGGGGCATCCTTGTTGCTGCTGAGTAGCTGGATTGACAGTGTCTGAAGCTGCCCTTTTGTTTTGAAACATGACTGTTACATTTCTGGCAGCCATTAGGAATGTGTGTGCATTACAAATACATACACAGATGTTTCTTTGTTCTCCACCTTTTTGATGTTCAGCACTCTGTAATTGAATGTTGAAAGGAAAGGGTTTTTTTGGGAGTTGTTCTTGTTGGAGTTTTTTTGTTTGTTTGTTCATGTACACAGTATACATGAGCTAGTATTTGGAAAATAGTTCTTACTAAATAAAATAATTAGGTGGAAGAGATTTCCTGAGACTGATTAGGTGATTTCCTAACTTCCTGATTGAAGCAGGACTACAGCCAATGCTGGATCATCACTTGCTTGCTGAATCCTTGAACATCTTCACAGGCGGAGAGTCTGCCACTTGTGTGTAATCAGTCTGTAGTTGCTCCTCTGTTCGAAGAGGAATTTTATCCTATTATCTAATCTAATAGCAACTATTTCTGGATGCTGTTTTTTAGTGCTTTTGTCACATTCCCACAGGGCTGGACATTTTGTAGCTGCTATTCAGGTGTTTATGCTATTGTATCTCCTTAGTGTCTACCAGTCTAAAGAAGTCCTGCTCCCAAACCTTTTCTCATAAATTATCTGCCTTGGGTTTGTTGTGGTGGCCATTTTGCTGGGCCTCTGCTATCTCTGCATCCTCCTTGAACTGAACAAGGATGATAGTAACCATCCTTACAAGTCCCAGATAGTGGGGGAAAAATATTGGGCAGTGAGCTGCCTGTGCAGTATCTCAGTGTTCCCAAGGTCTCCCTCAGCTGAAGCTGTGGCATCGATTGTGTCTCCTGAATTACTGTTGTCTGCGAGTTTCCTGAGGGATTTTCATGAATGCCAGCATCAGTAGCCTGTTTGGGCATGCAGCATTGCAGGCCCTGGCATTTGCTCTTTGGGGGATTCTGCTGCTTACTGAACACCAGGAGGCTGCTTTTTTGGTTCTTTCCCTTTGAGCCTGATGAACCAGCTGATTTTCAGCTCATTGATCAGTCTGGTATGCTTTAGAGAAAATACTGTTTTGGTTTGGTGTTGAGATGCTTAAGAAATATATTATTGATAACGTTGCAAAGTAGTGTGGCTAGTAAGCATGAATTAAATGTTAGCCTGGAAACCTGTAGCTGAAAGGGAGAGTCTTCAAGATCAAAACTACTTTGTTAAACTTTTGTGGGCAGAAATGATCTTTACTTAATGCCTTTTCTTCTTTTTGATAAAAACAATTTAAATCTCCCAGTCTACTACCTTTGGCGATAGCAGCAGCTACAACTTGATTTTTAGCTTGACTGTATTTGTAAATTCTAACCATGTTAAGGCAGAATGTGCTGTGAACTGCTTCTGGTATAATTCTCTGTAAATTCACTTTGTTTGTAGAAGTAAACGAAATAAAGCACTTTTTAATATATCTATTCGTATCATATAGCATTCAGCCATGTTGTGCATGCTGGACCTGGAGTCTTAACTTGAGCTTTGGACACTAACTGAACTGTCCTGACATCGAGTAATTGTTATGCTTGCAGAATGCCTGGGGATCTTCTTGCTACCAGATGCTTTGAAGCTTTGAACTGAAAAAGATGCATAATTTATTTTAAGGAATCAAGGGAGATATGCTTTCCCATACCCCTTCCTTATGCTAATATTGCAGAGTTGTTTGCAAAATGTTTGTAACCTTGATTTGATTCGATCTACAGCTTTGATACCTATCTCTTAACTCCCTGTCTTGTGCAGGAAGAGGGAAAAAATTATGTATGCAACATGTTGCGTTTGCCATGACTGTAGAAAACTTTAAAACTTCAAAATTAGGAATTAATGTGTGCAAGTATTTAATAATTTAACTTTTACTTTTTCCATCAAATGAATATTAGTGTATCACCTTATTTTTGTCTTGGATGCTGTGACTAACAAAATATTGACAACGTCATTAATGCATGGTGGTTGGTTTGTGTCTCTGGATTTGAGGGAGGGGCAAGGGAGAAATTCCAACAGGAGTGTAAGTGCATACCTTAACATTCACTTTGAAGCTCTGAGTGATTAGGAACAGATACAGATCCCTGTGTAAAAGAAGATGTCATTTAATGACTACATTAATTGTGTCTGGGACTGTGTTTAGCTCTGAATGTTTAGACCAGAAGCTTTTGTTGGGTACCTGAAGCACAGATTGATTGTCATGCATGATACTAAATAGTTAATTAAAATAAGTATCCAATATGAAAAGCACTTAAAAATCAAATAAGAATTGAATATTCGCGGTTTCTGTGATTGTATGTTTGGTAATTTGTGTTGAAGGGGAAGGGGAATGGAATGGGAGACATAGAGCAATGAAGTTAATAAAGAAGTCTATCATGATGGAATACTGAGCCTATATTAAACTGCAAAATGAAGATAACTGTTCAATTCTGTAACATATTTCGATGATCTATGAAATACTTAATAAAAGCAAATGAGAAGAAGTAATCTGACTGTCAAACTCTTATCCTAGGTTCTTCAGCTCTAATCCAAGTTCCGATGAAGTTTCGAGTTCTCAGACCAGGTAGCTGAATATAAATAATGCCTTTTTCAGATGCAACTTTGAAATCAGTGGCTTTATTTCAATGATGACTAAAGCAGGTGCTTTGATTAAGGTCTAAAAAGAAGCAGTGCAAGCTGCCAGACACTTGAACCGTTGCGTTTTTTTGTGCACTGGTTAATTTATGTAAAAAAAAATCTTAGGAGAATATGAAGTTACAAGTCTTTCTACAGAAATACTTTCAAACTTGAGACATTGGTTTCTGTCTTCATGATTTTCTGACAATATCGTAGTGAATCTAGGTAGTTTTTTTTTAGTTGGTGAAGTTTTCAATAAAAAAATTTGCAGCATGCTCAGTGTAGAGTGAAGGACTGACAGACCGAAGTATATAAATCAAGAACAGCATGGGTTGTTTGTTATTAAGATGATAGACAAGAGTATTTAGACAAGAGTTGTATGTTAGGAAACAAGAAGAAAATGGCCATTACCTTGATGAGACCTTAGACCTTTTCTGTATACACCTTTCCACATTAAGTCTGAAAGATCACATGCCTTTGTCTGTCAGCTTGGGAATAACCAGCTCACAGTGAGTGCTGCACAGGCACACAAATGCATGAAAATGACATAAGGCATTTAAGTGTTGATAAAAGTGTGTCTGTGGTGATGAATTACGTGGCACCAACTTGTTACGAGTTGCCTCTGTCACATGCTACTGCTGCATGTCACCTCAGGTGAAAAAAACCACCCCAACCAAATATAGAAAGATTTTATGAAGATTAAACTTTTAGGGGGGGAATGGGCCACGTTGTTGCTGTGGCAGGAGGTATCCCATCAGGTATTTTGTAGCACTATTAAATTGCAAGTGGTTTTTCATCTAAATGGTCCAACTTAGTGAAGTTTTTCTGTGTGTAAAATTCTGGAGTTTGACTTGATGGCAGCAGAGACATATTTCTAATGGAATGAATATTTAAGAATGAGTATGGAATTCCCTCTTCTTGTGAAGCTGTGTTTGGGATTTTTTTAGCTATAACCTGACATCCTAGTGGGAAAGAATACAGTAACAGTTCAGTGCTTGATGCATTTCTGTTTATTTGCTCTGATTTGAAGAAACTAGCAGTGTTAATTGCTCTTATGTAATTCAGTGGTCAGTTATATGCAGTTAGGTAGATGAGTTCTAGTTCTGCACTGTTTTTACAGAATAAAAATATGTATTTTAACACTTCATCATGGTCTTTTATAATTCAAATAACATTTGAATATATGTAATGCCTCTTTGAGATTGTTTTGCAGGTATATTTAGCTGAACTCTGGTGTTCTAAGCTAAGCAGGAATGCCTTAGAAGTGTTTTAGGCAGAGCAAAAACTAATTTTATTAGGTTTATCCTAATAAATAATAGCCTAAAACCAGGCTATTAAAACTCAGTAAGGAGCAAGATAGAGCCCTGATTGAAACACTGCTAGTTCCAACTCAAATATTCCAACTGTGTCTGTGCAACCTTTGGGCTGCCCAGAGCTCAAAAGGTATTTGCTGTATTAGTGAAGATTATGTTCTTTGTTAGCCTTAAGGCAGTATAATTCTTGAACTTCAGACTCCAAACAAGCAGTCCCAGAATGCTGTATGAGAATTAGGATTTTAAGAGGAGGAGGTTGGTGGCTTTTCTTTTTTTTATTCATGAGAACTGATCAGTCTGATACATGCTATTGGAGTAACATATCTTGGTATCTTCCCCAGTAAACTGAATTGTGTTAGAAGTCTTGTTTTGCTTATTTGATTATTTTCTTGATGACATTAAACCCTTGTGTATAAAATTGCTATGGAAGACAAAGTGTTGGACTTTTTCTGTGGGGGGCTGAGTTCTTGCCTGTTCTCCTTATGCATTTCAGAGTGCGAAGGAATTTTGTCACCATTAAAGTCTCCCATTAGAAACTCCTGTAAGATCATAGACATAATGTGTAAACTATGTAATGTGTAATGTTTCTTTATATGTTTTTACTTTAGTGAAGAGAGCATTCACAGGGTATATAACCTGTCTGAAGGATTTTATGAATGATCCCAGAAGAGAAGAACCTCTAATCGGTATGTTTTTTTGTTTTATAAATTGTATGCCTTTGAATTTGTTACCAAATTGTTTTCTTTTGAAATAAAAGGGGGATTTTAGTTAGTTTCATTTTCTGTAAATGTATTTAATAACTTACCTGTCTCATACCATTTCAATTTTAATTTATTGCATGGGGTATTGCAAAGGTCTGCTTAACTGTTAACTTGTTAACTTGTTCCTGAAGGAGACTTCTAAGTAACGAAGCTTTTTCCAGATCACAGAACAGCAGAGGCTGGAAGGGGCCTATGCTGATCTTAACCCCTGCTCAGGTCCCAGAGGAGGTTGTCTGGGACATGTCTTTTGGGCTTTTGAATATATCCAAGGTGAAAACCTGCAGTCTCTCAGGGAAATCTGTTGCAGTGCTCGGTCACCCTTGCAGTCAGAGTGTGTTTCCTGATGTTCAGACAGTATCTTCTGCTTCAGTTGTGCCATTGCCTCTTGTCCTGGCACTGGGAACCACTGAAAAGCTCCTTCTTTGCACCCTCACCTCAAGTATGGTGGCTGTTCAGAGACTGTGGGTGGGTATTGATTTGCTTGTGGGGAAGTTGAGCGATGGGTTTTTGCATGTTGGTTGGTTTTGGAGTTTTTTTACCGCTCTTTCCTTTACCTATTAAACTGTCTTTAAGTCCGTGAGTTTTGTTGCTTTTGTTCTTCCTGTGTTCTTTCCACCCTGCTGAGGGGTGTGGATGTGAGTGAGCAAGCAGCTATGTGGTGGTTCTTGACCTGCTGGCTGGGATCAACCCATCACGAATACATAGTACCGGAAAATATTACATAAGGGAACAGCTGCAGGATTTTCCTATTTATTTTAAACTGCTTTTAAATTTATTATGTTCAAGCTTTTCAGAATAAAACTTTTCATGCTAGGTAAGAAGCCTTAAACTTGAAGATTTCTGAATACTTTTAAGGGATTGTCTCAGTAATTTCTAGAAAAAATGAAAAAAATCCCATTTTCATTCTTATCATTCTTAAAAGTTAATTGAATGTTTTCAGATTATGAAAGATTCAGTTTTGTGAAGTGATTAATGTCTTTCCTACACCTGCTTTTACTCACTGTCCAAATTATGTTTGACTAAGCATTTTAAATGCAGTTTTTAAATCTAGACATTTGTAGGACATTTCCTATTCTCATTCTCTTTCTTAATTTCTTGAAAAAATATCCCAGACAGGAGTAAAGGTGCATGAAATATTTTTGGTGGGCTTGGAAATCTGCCATAGATGGTGCATTTCCTTTTAGAATAAGACATTGGAAAGAGATGAATTTAGCTGATGTGAGTAATAAGTCCAAAGAAGTCTTGAAGTGATCCTGAAGGAGTGTCAAATTCTGAAAATGGAATAATTTCATAGATTAATTTTTAATATTATGAGCAGCATTGAAAACAATACATTTGTTTCAGTAGTCTGTTTTAAAATAGAGATATTTGTAACTCCTGCTTTTACAGGTTTAGAACATGTGGTTGAAATCAGATTTGAAGGAAGGAAAGAGCCACGTTACGAGTGCAGGCTGTGTGGGTGTAATGCAGAGCTGGCACCTATGATAGAACATCTCAGTGGACATAAACACAGAAGAGAATACATTGTGAGTAATTTTGATGCATTTTGATCAAAATTTCTTAATGATGCTCCTCTTTTATTTTTTTTTTCTAAATAATTAGGTCATTTGAAGTTTAAACCCCCATATGATAAATTGCCAGTATTTGTGTAGTTGACTCTCCCTGGGTCAGACCAACACGAAGAGCTCTGATGCTGTGGGCCATTGAGACAGTGCAGTCCAGGGTTGCCTGTCTATTTCAGCTCCAAAGTCTGTTCCTAAGTGTTTAGATTGCTTTCAGGATCAGGTTCCAGAAACAATGTGATACTTTTTTATTCCCCAGTTGTAGGGACACATATTGAGAAAGCAAGAAAATTACAGCCTGAAAAATACTCCAGGCTGGGGCTTTTCAGCTCTGTTCCCAGCTGATAAGCTGGTCCAGCTCAAGGCTAGGGAGAATTTCTACCAGGGTGATAACTTGGTCAAAATAAAAAGGAATTAATTACAAGATAGAACACCTGTTGTGGTGTGTGACCAGGCCCTGGGAATGGGGTGCCTTCTCTCTGAACCAGTCACCTTTTCTCTGCCCTTGGAATTGCGAGTCATGCTATAAAACCAAGTGTGTCCTGAATAAATTTGTCTCATTCTATCATGAAAGATGACCATGTAGCTGTGTCTTATTTCTGCCGCACTTAAAGGGTTAAAACCCCTTTGCACGGCTACCCAGCATTCATATTCATTCATATTCATTCATATTCATTCATATTCATTCATATTCAATTCATAGCATTGCTGGATTTGGTACAGAGGGTGTTTTCTTTGGTAGCATGCTTTACATGGCATCCATTTTTTGTTTTGAAGACTACTTTAGTAACTCTAGAATTTGAGTAGATATTTTACAGAGAAGAAATCAGCTCATAATATTCAAATCAATGCTTACCAATCTTTTGGAAGCTTGTCCAGAAGGTGAAATGTGTAATTTTTAAAATATTGTGATAAATTTTGATATTAACATTTTCAAGCTGGTTTTGTTTGCAGTCTAAAGAATTTCCAGATAAAATGAGAAGAAAACCAACAAGTGGAAAAGAATGCAAAGTCTTGTTTTTCAAACGGATAGCAGGAGAGCTAGAGAAGAGTGAAGGATTAAAAATGTATAAGGTAATTGGAAGTAAATGTAAAGTATCTGTTAATGTGCCTTTTATCAGTGCATTTATGTTTAATAGAATACATTTTAAAAGTGCTGGTGGCAAAGCTTGTTAAATTTCTGTGCTTCTAGGAAGTGTATTAATGAGTTGAACTCAGGCTTACCGTTAGGCTGCCCTGAAAAATATGGGGAAAAGAGCAGTAGTATTGAAATTCATCTGGAAAAAAACCAAAGCTTTATATTTTCAAAGTTTTAGATGTTTTAAATTGAAAGTTGTTTAGTCTGAATTCAGTGGTTCAGAAATTTTGTTACTTTAACTTCAATAATTTTTATTTTTTGCAACTTTAATTTTCTCAAATATGAACAAATTTTCTCTCAAACTTAATTTATATTTACAGGATTCTTTATCTGTATGTGAGGCATTTAGTTAATTTACTTTAATTCAATTTGATTATGTTAGCATAAATAAAATAACTTGTTTGTTTCCTAAAGGCAGTTGCAGTAGAGACTGTTGTTACGAAATTTTAATCAGAAAGTCTAATATGAAACTTCTTCTATTTTCAGACTGAAGGTTACGTGAGGCCAAGTCCCTCATGTAAGTCTGTGCATTTTTTAAATATAGTAGATTTGATATAATTGGTATTCGGCCTAATTTGACTTACTAGTTGAACTCAAAGGGTTTTATTGATGTAAAACATTCAACTTGTAATACTACAAAACGTTTTCTGAGATTTTTATGGTTTTTGTGATTTTGAAACAAGGATAGAAGGAAATTTCCAGTCTTCCTTAGATATTTTTTAACTTCTCAGTTCCAGAGATATTTATGATAACTGCACTAATTTGCTCATCAAGGAAAGTGAAAAAGTACAGAAAAATGGTACTTGATGGCTTTCTCTGAATAAAGTGATAAAGTCTCCTCCACCTCATTTCTGTCATCAAAAGACTTACGTGCTGAATCACTGGTGAAAGTGGAAATTACCATTCTTTAGCAAATCCATTGGAACAAGTGGTGGAAACCAAACCCACAAACATAAACCCAGCATCTTCCCTCATGGAGTATGGCTTTGTTACATCTTTTGTTACTGTAGAAGTGCTTTAGATCCTTAATGATGCTGATGTGGAGGAATACCTCCTTGCTACCTTTTGACCATAGTATTAATATCAGAAGGAGGGTGGGTTTGAGTGAAGTGAGTGAAGGTTGCATAGATCAACAGAATTTGTCAGCGTGGGTCCTGCTGTAGGAGCCTACCACAGCAGTGCTTTTGTCTAAATCATTGGTGGCTTCTGTGGCTTGTACTTCTGAACAGTGGTCTACAAAACAAGGTGGCAGAAATCTTTTTGATCTCTGTGCCTCTTCCAAAGAAGAGGGAATGTGACCCGGTAATAAGCTCAGTAATTCTCAGTTCAGAGTAAACTGGTATCAGTCAAGTCTGCAGACTTCCGTGGAAGTGGAAAACACAATCAAATGTCAATTTTGAACATCGAAAAGTGTGATCCCACCCGATCCTACAGGATATGAAACTCTGGAAAAATGGATAAGAGGGAAGCGTTGTGCCGTTCAGTATTAAGGTTTGCTGTGGTTAGGTGATAAGGTCAACATCAAGTGAATTCCAAAAAAAAAAACCCCTCTGGTTGTTTAGAAGAAAATCGTGGTTACTGGCTTAGCATCAGCAAGTAACTTTAGATCACACTGGCAAATTTCAAAACTTTCTTCTGACAGTGAGAATGAGTTTGGGGATGTGTACGAGTGACAAATGGACATTAACAGCTTCATCAGCATGTGTTAACCGAGTTAATGGGAGCTGGTTAATATGCAACACAAGTCTTTTGGCCTGGTCTTGTAGGGCCAAAGATGTCACTTGTCCTGACAATTATTACGTCCTGTTGTTTATCTTGGAACACCTGTGTTGACAAATGCTTAAAAAGTGATGAGTTATAGACATACCATGCAGTAGCTGGTTCTCTGAATCGTAGTTACTGTTTTAGACTGTCTTGTTTTGCTGAGCTTTCCCTCCCTCCCTCCTCATGCTTATACATTGATAGAGATGATCAGACATTCCAACCCCCATAACTTCTTACTGGAATCTTAGCTATTGTATGTACGCAGGTATTTACTCAGAAGAGACCCACATGCAGACTTTTTTTCATGGAAGAGACAGGCCCACCTCAGTTTATTCCATACAGCGTTCTTGTATAGGATTCAGCTTCCTGAATACAGATGCTGTAGGGTACCCTGCAAAGCCTTTAAGGTGCAGGTCTCCCACAGACTTTTCATCAAGGATGTCTGGTGGTTTCTAAGGTGGCAGTGTGTGCCATCTGCTGCTGAATCCTGCCCTTTACAGAAACTGCAGCCACTTCATGGCCAGTAACTGTTCTGTTTGTATAATGCTTCTGTTGCAGTAATACAGTGCAAACCTTGTGATTTTACTAATAATTCTTTTTCATTTTCTAGCCCCATTGAAGAAGAAAGCAAGGTGAGAGTACTACCCACACAGGAGAATCAAAAGTGATTTTTAAATCTGTTTTTCTGTAGCAAACATCATGACATACGTGAAAATATTTTATATTGCCTTTCCACTGTACCTACTCCTCTTCAGTAAATTGTTCCATTTTGTCTGTGGGGAAATAGTAGCTATGGCTTTTGAAATGCTGCACTCAAAAAGTAATTGCAATTGAAATTTCCAGCTGCTTCCATTCTATGTGGGATATCATTGGCTGAATGAGTTTTGTGAAAAGCTGTTTATATAGGAAGAAAAAAATCCAACTCACCATTATTTCAGTCATCTCCTTTAGCTGATTTGTAAAGAAGTTCATCTGTACTACTGGTCTCTTTGAGAGTCAGTCAGAATAAGGACCTTACGGTATATTTAAAACACTGTAATTTCTTAGAGAAATATCCAGTATTGGTAGATGATATAAATTTGGAAACAGAAATATCTTGGTTCTAGATACTATGAGTAAACTTAATGTTTTAGTAATTTTTGGAATGCATCTTAATACTGTAATTTCTTTCTTTTAAGGTGGGAAGATGATTATAAGCATGAGGTATGTAGAGACAGTAACTCAACACAAGTGTTCACATACCCACAAGTGTCTCATGGTGTAGCAGTTTCTTTATGCTTATTTTTAATTTTTTTGGGAAATGCTTACTCTTGGCTTCATTTGTTATTTTATTAATATTGTTCCAGAAGCAATTGACCTAATGAGTCAGAGTTTTGTGTTTATCACAGCAGAAGAGAAGATAATACAGTTCACCCTAGCTCTCATAAATCCTGTTTAGAGCCACTGAGAGTCTCAGAGCCAGTGTCTCCAGGCCAGGTCTCAGCCTGTGCTGCAGTCTCCCCTTCCCTGTTTTGTCCCTCTTCAGATCAAGACTATTCTATACTGAAAGTTTGGTTTAAATCTTAAGATATATCTAAAGAGTTACAATCCTTTTTTCTAACTCAAAGGTGAAATTCAAAATGATCACTGGAGTATCTGTCCTGATTAGCTCTGGAGATAAACACTGAGAAATGCCTTGTTTTTATCTTAGTGGCAGAGTTGGTTGTGTAGGCCTCAGGCTGGCCAGGTACTATGCTAAATGACTTTTTTAAACACGATTTTGCTCCTGAGTGAGGAAAGGCTGGAAAGATAGCTCTTGTGGGTGTGTGGCTTAATGTGAAGTGTGTTCTTCCTGGTATTAGAAGTAATGCAGCTGTGTTTGTGTAGCTACTACCAAACTGATACTGAGGATCTAAGGTTACATGTTTGTGGCTCTGACCTAAAATTATATCTTTTCTTTCTGTTGACTTTTGTTGTTGAATAAAAGATTAAAATGTCTCATTTCTGTACAAGATGATGCAACAACTGCTGTAAAAATCAGTCTTTTAATTTTTTTTCCCTATTCTGTAATCCCACAGAACGATCCTGTTCGGAAACAGAAAGCTCTGGAGTTCTTGGTATGTATGTAAAATAATTGTGATGAGAGTTGTGAGGTTTCACCAGTACGATGCAATGAATATTGTGAAGGAGCCTATGATTACTGATCAAACTCATTTGACTGCAACATTAATTTCTATTTTTGTGGACTCTGCCCTGAAAAGTTAGTGCAGCTGTAGTTTAGCTCAAAGTAATTGTCTGGATTAAATGTGAGCTCTCAGCCTGTTCTGTGGATGACTCTCCCCTTTGCTGAGAGCCAGCCTGACAAGCAGTGTTAATTAGCAGCACTGATGGTGCTCAAGTGCTGCTGGCTGCCCCTATCTAATGGGATTGTTGATAATGCTGAGCGAGAGGAGCCAGTGTGGTCTGGCTGCCAGAGAGAGCACAGCTGCTGGTCTTGGAGTGATTGGGGAAGTTTTATCTGTTCTGTTGTTGTTGACAGGAGCATAGTAAGCCTCAGTTTGAGTTTATGAAAATACCTGACCATTGTTGTGTTCGCTGTTTTACTCTGTGAAAGTCATGTTCTGTACCTAAGGCAATTAGAAAATTTTATTTGAGTCCGAATTGTGTTTATACACCAAAATCAGAAGTAGAATGTTTTGAAATATGTGCTTCATGTCTTCCATGCTGTAGTTACTTGTGACTTCAGAAAGAGAGAGAGAGAAAGCAAGTCTAAGGGATAATCAGTAAACTACAAAAAAACTTGGTAGTTAATTGACTTTTATCTACAGGAATCACAGCTATTTCTTACAAAAAATGCTTATGTTCTTCTAACTTACTGTAATCACTTACAAGTTCATTTATTTAGTAATCAGCCTGAAGCTTGTTTTTTAATCAATTTTCTACACAGAAAATATAAATTTAGGATTTGTCCTCTTCTCTGTCTGCAGCAAAATGTTTATGGACTTACAGTATAGGAGTGGCACAGAAATCCAGGTTTATGTTTTACCTTTTATCAAGCCATAATTATGTTCCAAATTTTATTTTTTTATGTTTTTGTGTACATTTATCATGCCATATGTTAACCAATGGTATAAATTTGGTTATACCAAAATCAAAGTATAACTTTGATCTGTTTGTGTATATGACCCTTCAGCATCCTAATGACCAATTCTAACCATGTTTTTCAACAGGAGACTTTTCACATCACCTCAGATTCAGAAGCAACGCTTGTTGTTCACATTACACAGGGACTCATGGAGGCTTTGAAGGCCTTTTGTGAAAAGAAAGCAGCAGTAAGTAACTTGATCTTGTCCAGAGCTGTTTTACCAGTGGGAGGAAAGGAGTGATTAAACTCACTGTGTTAACACCCTGCCAACCTGTAACAGTTCAGGCATGGGTCAAAACCCCCAGTTAAATGTACTTGAATTTCCTTTTTTTACGATTTCTAAGTAACAAAGATATTAATTACATAGCACATTTCTCTTAGTATTCTATCTTCATGTATCTGTTTTGGCTTTTTGTGTGTGTGTGTGTTCTCTTCTGGGCACCATTTTGCTTCTTGATGACAGGTTGTCATCCTTTTTGTGGTGGTCCCTTGCTTGATAGCTTTTGTTCTAAGATCGATGAGGCTTTAAGTGCCACTCAAATGTGCCACTTTTTTCTTTCATGGGCCTGTGGGTAGGTCTGTCTTTCTCATAACTTGTAGCTCTGCTCTCAGTTGAGAGTTTTTTAATCTGTTAAGACTAAGGTAGGCAAGATGTTCTTGACTATCTGTTGGTCCTTACAAACCTCCATAGCTTCTTTGCAAAGATGTTGACTGCCTGTGGAAAAAGGAGTCTGAAGAAGGACCAGAATTTGTGAAAAAATGAGTCATCACTCTGGTAGCTACTGGTTCACAAAATTCAGGATGTGTTTTTTTCTGAAAGCTGTTTCAGATGGTTTTCTCAATTGTATATTCCTTGTCAGGTGAGCTACAGTAACTATCTCTGTGCAAATGCTGCCACTAAAACCAGTTAAATACTGTTTTCTGTAGCTTAATCCCTTAGCTGGGCTTTCCATTCTGCATTCCCCAGATGGATGCAGGATTTGCATATGCACCAGTTCTATATTTTAGCCAGGTGATATGAGAGATGAGGCAATACATTTGAAACAGAAGATGTTGTCTTCACCAGACACTTCCTTCTGTTCTCGAGATATGTACCTTTTCCAAATAGCACTTTGGAAAATTGTGGTATAATGTGGTAACAACATACTCCTCATATAGACTTTGCTATCACCTAAAATTGTACTTTGCTAACTTTCTGTGGAAAATTCGTTGCTTTTTAGAATTTGCAGGTTCTTAAATTCTTCCATGTGCAAACAGACATTCTGATCTTTTGCTTTAACCTAGGATAATGGCACCAACAGTTCAGGCCCACTGATGTCAGTACCTCAAGATGAATTTCCAGAAAGGAAAAGTGATCCAGAACACTATGGGCCAGATGTAGAATACAGAGGTAATTTAGATATTTTGTTCTATTAGTTTGTTTACTCTGGAGACTGCACAGATTGTGAAAATTTACTTTTATGACCAGCCATACTGCTTCTCAGCTGGTGTACTATATGTCTTTGCCCTCTGAGTCAGTTCAGGATATCATTTTCTGATTCTTTAATGACTTAACTGTCTGAAAATATTCCTGTCTCACTGAACAGTGTTACAGCAGTTAAGGTTATGGAAATTCAAGCAGTAACCCTTCCTGATCTATTTACTGCCAAACTCAGATAAGACATAAGTGCAGGAAATGGGAAAAGAACAGAAGGACACATCATAAAACCTCAAAGTAGTTGTGTTTGCAGTTGGTATTTTAATATTCTGCTAACTTTTGGTGCCCTTTATTTATTCAGAAAGTTCTGACTGGAATCAAGGTTTTTTGTCTCAGTATGAAGAGTGTTCTGAAGATGCTTCTTGTGCTCCTGCTCACCCAAACAGTTACCAAGCAGATGATGGAACATCCTACTGTCATCTGAAATCAGACAACTTTGCAATGATGTCTCCACTCACGGACTCTCCTGCTGTTGAGCCTGATAGTGCTACCAGTGGTGTCAGCAAATGGCTGAGACAGCTCAGAAACTCTGTGTCCTGCAGGAATTTGGCTGTTGGGACTTCTTCATATGAGACCAACCCAGTGAAGGAGTACTCAGCAGAATACATATCCAGTGATGTGCAAGGAAGTGAGCTTTGTGATAACAGACTGTCATTTGGCAGGGAAAATACAAAATGGAGGAATCAACAAGTATGTAAAAAAGCAAGGCATATAAGTGACCAAGAATTACCCTATCCCAATTCTTCTGCCTCATATCCTTCATCTGGAAGATACTCTACAAACTATCCTTCACAAAGCTATTCCTCTTACAAGAACAATGAGTCTGTGAATACTTACACATCTTCTGCAAATTCTGCTGTTTCAGGAAGAGGTGGCTCCAGGTGGCACCAGGACACTAGGTGGAATGAGTGGAACGAGGACTGTAGCTGGAACGAGGACTATAGGTGGAACAAGGACTGTAGCTGGAAGCAGGACTACAGCTGGAAGCAGGAATCTAGGTGTCAAGGATTCAGGTATCAGAAATCAGGCTACCAAAGAGACTGGAGTTCGCATCAGGACGCATTTTCTGGCAATGGTTCATACCGAGATCACCAGCAGTTCAGAAGCTCAGATGGACTTGATGTTGGTCTTGCTCCCAACACTGTGAACAGACTACTAGGAAAGGGTGTACCTACAATGACCAGGATTCTCAAACAGCTGGCTCCATAATATCCAGCACTTCAAAGTAAGATTGTGATCAGTTTGCATCATATGAAATGAGTTACATCAGCATAGTTGCTTTAACATAAGCAGGAGATTGCAGGTTGCAGAGATAGGATGAGCTGTTCAGGGGAGTCGAACTCATTTTTCTCACATCTGTATCAGCTGAAGAAAGGCATTGTTGCCTCTCTGAGGACACTGTGCCTCTTGGCAACTAGATGGAGCAGTGAGTGGGAGGAGATTTTGATAGTGCAAAAATTTCCTGAATTGAAAGGTTTGTCCTAGGTCGTCTTTCTAACTAGCAGTTTGTATCATGAGTTGTGCTGGTAGGTTTGCAACGATGGGAGGGGAATGTATTGGCATAAAGGAAAAAATATTGGAATGCATGCAGAACCAAACCTGAATGGAATTATAATGGATAATCCAAATGACTCAAAACCCACTGGGATAACAAGGGAAATGTTATCAAAAGAGCTGGTTCATTACGTATCAATTACTTTTTTTCCAGTTACTGTAGAAATAGTCATTAATGTTGAGAATAGTGATACACAATTCAAAGTGAGAGTTTCTCCTTTGGAAATAGATTATTAGAGGGATTTAAAGAGAAGTGGGCATATGCAACTGCATAGCTCTCATTGAACAAATGCAAACTATGAGTTTGGACAAATGCAAACTATGTTTCTGGTACTAGATTTAATTAGGTAGCTACTTAATAGTAAAATTTTAATTTTCACATTCTCTATGCTGTATTATGGAAATATTATGAGATAGAAGTAACTCTAAATGTCTTTATCTCCCCTTTCCAGAAATAAATATTCAGACATTCGTCAATGTGCTAATAGAAACTAGAGAGAAAGATTTAGGAGCAACAAGAGCTGAACTGGAAACAGATGAAGAGATTTGAGAATCTCCATCACTTGGCTTTCAGGAAAGAGATTGCATTTAACCCTGTGTTTCGCTGGCTTGGGAAAGGTAAAGGGAGGTAGGGTTTAAGTTTATAACATGTGAAATATAGCTGGAACATGAACTTGCACATAACAGGTGAACATACTATTTTGTTTAGGCTTTTTGTAATGTATTTGTTATATCTTAGTATATTAAAGAGAAATAAATCTTCTGTTATTTTTTGAAAATCTGTTAAAATTATTCTGTCAGCAAAAGCTAATAATCCTTTTAATACCCCTCTCAATTCAGAAGAGAAAGAAAGGTTTACTTTTATGTTACCCACTTAGGAAGAATATTCATTGGAAATACAGGTTTAATTTTCTTCACACAAATGTAAGGCCAGTTCCATTAATTTGAGGCTTTATAATTAGCATATTTTTAAAAATTGATACACTACATTTCTGTTTGCACTAAGAAAGGAGAATGTCACAGCAAAGATATTCTCTCTATCTTAATGTGATGCTATGTGAGGAAAATGTAATCTATACTAGAGAACTGGTATGTAATGGGGCAAATTAGTTTTGTTTTTGCAGAGTAAGAAATGGTGTGAAATACATGCTGGTTTTCTAATCTTATTGTTCAAAATAAAATGTCTTAAAAACTCATTTAGTAGATGGACCCACGCTAAAATAAAAATTCTTGACTTTCTACTGGCAAAAGCATATTAATAGTAGATCCCATAAGGCAATCAGATAAAATAACAGGAAAAATAAACAAAATGTCATACCGAGTAATACTTAGCAGTTCATGGTGTGTATCAGAGCCACATCCTCATGAATGCCTGGCTTTAGATATCTGCTTTATGTAATTAAAACCAGCTTACATGGAGCTGAAGAAAAGAAGTAAAGTGAGACAGTTTACTCCTGAGTGTCTGTTTTCCTTTTCACTACTGCATTGTGGACTATCATTTTTCTTTTCACCCATGCCAGAACTGTGTCTCTGTGCATTAAATACATGCACTGAAGCAAGGTTAGTCTTAATGAGGTGTCATAAAACATTTTGGATCTTGTTATGTAAATTTTAATAAAAACTCAATGAAATCATTTATTATTGAGCATGTAAACTCAATTCCCTAAAATTTTTCTTCTGTCATTATTTTGTTTCTGCATGTGAAAAGATCCACTTTCCTTTTTCATTCCTGTTCACTGTGTCTTTTACTGCTCATAGGTACTGAAGTGTTGGAGTGGTTTATGATGTCACACACCTCGTAGTTGTGCCATACACTTCCATCTACTGAATTACATAGTCAACCTTCTTGCTTAAAAGGGAGAACTATGTTTTTTCTACCACAGGTGTCTGCCAGACACCCTGATTTAAGTAAGGTTGATCAGTTATTATATCTGGATTTAAAAATGACCAGAAGTTATTTACACAAATGTTATTACCACAGTTTTTACTCACAGAAAGTGTAATGCAACTGAAATTCTTAACTGTAGAAAAAAATATCGCTAGAAAATATTACTGCTGCAACTCTGTCAATTCAAGTTAAGAACTTTTCATTTGAGGTTGTTGCAGAGAACTCTTTTCCCCATTTCTCACTCCCTTTTGGATTTTACTGCCATCACTGTATACCCCAGTGGCATACAGCAGCTGGATGACCTCCATCCAAATTAGATGCTCTTTCCACCTACACGTTCTGTTCACATTTTTCCTTCTGGGCAACAGTTATTGTCCCGCCTTTGTTGTTGTGCACAGTCCTGTATTGGAGAAACAGTTCTTGCATTTTGAAATGGAGTTGGAGTAGTTACCAAATTAAGTCAGCACTGATTTACTAAAGCTTTCCTGAACTGTAGAGAGCTGAGTACTCCTTACTCTCAAGAAAACCCTTTGCCATTTTTTGCTCATGTGTAGTACAGAATTGGAGCAGAACTATGTCTAGACTCCAATCCTTCTTCAAGACACAACCTCACAAAGTAGGTCCCACAGCCTGCAGAGCAGCTTTACATGCTAGCACCTGTCAGCACCAGTGCAGCAACACCACAGGCCTTGGCATGGAGGCAGTAGTTCTTGGAATGCATCTGAGCCCTTGGAGCAAATTTGCAATTTCTTAAAAAAGCTAGTGACAGAAATCCAGACTGGAACATGTCTTGGACTGGGGATAAATGGTCTACTTTTAGCCAGTTTCTTAGTCTGTGGTCTACCTGCTTTCACACCTTTAGAAGTGTGTTTCCCACTGTGACAAGTGTTGTTCCAATCCAGAGCCACCTTGATGATTCTCTGCATCAGTGATGCTCATTTAGGAAGTGCTGGAGCCAGCTCTTCTGAACCAAGGGCAGTGAAATACAAGGCCAGCTGGACATGGAGACATCCTTCAGGGGAGACAACTTGGGAAGTTTCTCAGATTCCAGCTTTTTAGTTTGTACCATGGACTTACTAATACTCCTCAAAATGCTTCCCAGAATTACTGGATGTTATGTGGGTGTATGATCCAAAGGGACAGATTCCTTATTGGGAAAGAAAATGGGGAGATTTTTGAGCCCAGAAATTTGGGGCTCTTCTGTTTTGTTTCTGGAGAGCATATATAGTTACTACCTCAGCTTTCTAGGGAAGGAAGGTTCAAAAAGTAACTGGTGGAAGTCTTTTCCCTTGTTTTCTTCAACGTAAATAACTTTCATAGCTGTTGGATGAGGTGGTTTCTGACACTGGTCGTTATTCCTGATATCTCTCCTCACCCAAAACCAATTCCTTGCCTTTTGGGCAAGGACAATGTCAAAAGTGTTTTGGGAGAACTCCTGGTTTCAGTGTGCTTATGCTATGGGGGCCATTGGTTTTTCCCCACATACTTGACACCAGAAGAGTTCAGAGAGTTGCTGAGCTGTCACTGAGGGTCTTATTATCACTTGACAAATAGTAGCAGCATCTCTGCATGACGGATGTTTGATTGCAGGGTCTGGTGTCACCCTGACACCAGACATTCTACTCAGGGTGAGACACAGAATCACAGAATTGTCTGAGTTAGAAAGAGTCCACAAGGATCACTAAATCCAGCTCTTCAGTGAATGGACGGTGTCGGGATTGAACATGTGACTTTGGTGTTATTTGTGTCATTCTGACCATCTGAGCCAATCTCAGGGTCACCTGGAAGTAACATTGTAACTTTCTTTTGGGTTGAATTTGCTTCCTCCAAGTTGTTTCTTCAGAGTCACGGCAAGAGATGGTGTGTGATAGGAATCTGTTTTCCCACTCTCTCATTAGCTGTAAATGGTTAGATGTAGGGTAAAGTTACGAGACTATCAATTCAAGGCCACTGCAAATAAGTACTTCAGCACAAAAAGGAAGGTTTGTGTTGCTAAATGAATACTTAGCAAAGGGAGCATATTCAGAGTCCATTTTTGTGTGGAACTTACCAAGGGAGGTGCAGTATGAACTTCTTCACAGGTGTGAAGAAATTGTATCTGAAGCCATCCCAAGGATACCCTGAAAGGAGGCAGCTAAAAAGTAAAATAAAGGCCATCCAAGTGGAGAGATCCCTGAATCGTAGAGAATACAGAAATAAAATCGCCATCCCCTTAAAGCTCTACAAAAGTGAAACAGACTAAAAGTTGATCTAGTATTTTTACTTAATTTTAAATTCTGTATTTAAAAATTAATACATTAAACTCTTATAAAAAGTAAGGCACATGCAAAACATGTTGTGCAACTTCTGGCTTTCAACTGATATAAACTAACAAGCATTATTTTAATTTGGCATTTCTAAAGAGTCATTTCCCCCATGCAGGATATGTGTAAGAGGTAATGTTCAACACGATACTGGTTAAATCTAGATTCTGTGCTTTCTGTACTACAGTAAGCAGAGATGGTCATATCATACAATAATACAAAATAAAAACCAACTCAAGTACAGATTCTGACAATGATTACCAACATACAAAATTTAAGAATGTGATGTTACATCCATTATAATACATCAATGATCTTATTCAGTAGAGGATGATTTGGCAATTCCAGTCTGTGTAATGCTAGTGTGCAATTCCTGGTTATGGGTGTCATACGATGCTGAAGACCATGGAAAGATACTGCTCATAGGACACCTGAATCCAGCCATCCTGATCAGTATCGTAGCGTCGGAACACATCAGTC